AGGTCCTTTACCATTTTTGAATTTTGGGGAGTCTTTTTATTTTTGAGATAAAGTTATCTTGGGCATTTTTTATCACAGACTTGGAATCAGCCATTCCTTTAAAGAATCCTGATTCCCTTTATTGGAAAAGGGTATTTAGAGACCACAGTTTGAGTGCTAAGGTTGCTCACTGCTACTGGCTGGTCACTGTTTCTAGTTCTTTTCAGTGGCTAGAGCTTAAAAATATATGTTTACTTTCTTTAAGTCAAAACACATTATGAGTTTATACTAATACTTCGAAAGCACAGCCAGGACCACAGGGATTATTACTTAACTTCATGAAACGTATCCCTTAATAACCCCCTCCTGAACCTGTTTTCTGAGCAGTTCAATAAGTATATTTTCTAATAAATCTGCTGACACGAAGCCCTACACCAAACATTTACTTTTTATAATCTCAAGGGTTGTGGGTATAGAGCTGCGCCCTGTCCAGCTAGGGTAGCAGCAGCTCCTACTTTGGTGGAAGCACCAGTGGTTTCTGGTGCTGGCTGCTCTGCAGAGTTGCAAAGAGCAAGAGAAAGTCTTTCAATTATCTGTGAGGGCTTTGTTTTCAGGGTGACTCTTGCAAGCTCTTATTATTAGAGTTGCAGCTTCTTGCCCCAACTACATTATTATTTTGAGTACAAAGGTGCCCGGTTGTAAAAGTTGTGTTCCCCCAGCCCCCGCCCTGGTCTGCTCCTTGGTAGGCCCCCATAGGTACCCCGCTTGCTGGTGTGGAGTTTGAGGTCACCCACAGCTCCTTGCGTTGAGGCTGTGGGAGGAGTGCCAGCCAGCGCCTCGTGGCCAGAGTGGGCCTCCAGGGCTGACCTCACGGACCCGTCGCCGCCCGTCTGCTCCTGGGCCTCGCGTGCTCGGTGCCCTGCCACTTCTTCTTTTTTGTTGTTGCGTCTTATTACCACTTCGAGTGTGGGCATGGAAGGTCCCTTTTATTGCCATAAAAAAATCACCAGGGCTGGACACGCCTGTGATTTCCTCACACAGGTTCAGTTACAGACAACTCCTCAATGGCCTGCGTTGCATGTACTTAGTAACCAGACTCACTCCAAGGCCTCCTGGCGAATTTGTCAGAAGAACGACCTGAGAGAGGGGTTATGTCACGGTGACATAAACACATGTCTTGCTGGGCTCTGATACCCGCACCCGGGAGATTGATTCACAGGGCCAGAAAGGGACAGAGGATAGACAGAGATGGGACGTGACCAGGAACGGAAGGCCACAAGTTGTAGACTGGTGTGCTTTTCAGTGAAATCACGTCTCCCTCTGTGTGAACCTGGAGGGCATCAGCCATGATGCTGTGTGCATGGGGCCCTTCGTGGCAGGGGTAGCATGGCAGTGAAATTGGTGTTGCCCATGGGCACCTGGTCGGGAGCACTTTCCTTGTGCGGTGCGTGTCCCCTCTGCCGGGAAGTGGCTTTGTCTCAGTGCCAAGGAGAAGCTGGGAAGATGGATGGGGTTACTTTCTCTTGAGTAGTGGTACTGTATTTTGACTTGTTGAAGGTCATTTAAGCCCTTCCACTTCTATGATCATTATCAATGTGGATTAAATGAGCTTGGAAATAAAGTAGTATGTATTTGGGAAGATAACTTTTTCAAAGATCTTTCTGGCTTTTAAAAGCTGATTTTCAGGCCAGATGTGGTAGCTTAACACCTGTAATCCTAGCACTTTGGGAGTCCGAAGTGGGAGGATTCCTTGAGGCCAGGAGTTTGAGACCAGCCTGGACAACATAGGAAGACCCTGTATCTACAAAATATAGAAAAATTATTAATAGCTGGTCATGGTGGCGAGCGCCTGTAGTCCCAGCTACTACTTGGGAGGCTGAGATAGGAGGACCCCTTGAGCCCAGGAGTTTGCGGTTGCAGTGAGCTCAGTGGTTGATGATGCCACTGCACGTTAGCCTGGGCAGCAAAGCAAGACCCTGTCTCCAAAAGTAAAACAAAACAAAAAAACCTGATTTTCAGTGAACTGGTAGTTTATAGTCGCTGACTATAGATACATAGCCTTTTCTAACTTGTGCCTCACAACGATTAAAAAGTGAGACATGCCTCTCAGAAATTCTGCCTTTAGTAGGTGTTTGGCTCTCACCAAGTTACAAATGGTCAGCTTTCAATGAGATTAGGCTTAGCACAGTAGCCAGATATGTGCACGTTTTAAGGGTTTTCCTTTGTCTGTGATAGTTAAAGCAAGTTGAGACTAACGACCTTCTGTTTAGGCAGGAAGGTTGGTGGTAAATAAAAAAAGCCACCGTCCCTTTTGCACACTCTTTTCAAGCCTAGGCCAGCGACCTGGTACAAGGGAGAGTTGCTGTGATCACGATGTCATCTTGGAATCCGGGTGCACGCTTGCACATGTGTGCCTGTCGTTCCAAGATTCTTCGCCATCGTTCACTGGTTGAGTTCACAGCTGCCTGTTCAGAAAGATGGTGATCTAATTATAATTGCTCCCGAATCAATAAAGAATGGGTGGAATGTTTTCCTGTGTCAGCAGATGCACAGTGGAGCCCTCTCTGTGCTCCTTGTGCCCTGCTCTAAAGAAAAGCGAACCTGACAGCAGGGCCCCAGGTCGCTGTGGCCTTCAGGATGAGCTGCCTCTCCCACCCTCCTCCAGCTATGGGGGTCAGGGGGCAGCCTCCGTGTTCCGTCTGCCATCTCTTCTGATTACGGAGTCTCTATCCCTCCATCTCGGCCTGTTCATAATCACCGGCTAGGTAGCTGTTCCTTAACTGTTAACTTCTAGATTGTGATAACAGGCAAGTGTCAGTTCTCTTTTCTTCTGCCAGGACCAGGCTCTTAGAGATCCTCAATTGTTCTCATTTCTCCAAGAGTAGGCATCACTGGTACAGACTGGGCTAACACTGAATCTGCTTATATTTATATGCCTTTATTGGGGGGGGTTGTTTGTTTATTATTTCAGAGGTAATACAAGTTCATTATAGAAAACTTAGAAAGTAAAGAGAAAAAAACAAGATAAGGGATGTTTCATAGCCATATTTTTTCTGTTACATTTGTTTCCAAAACATACGCTATATACCAGCATGCTACCCAGGGCAGTTTTCCCACTGAATGTTGTATTATAGCATCTTTCCACGCCATACCATATATTCTTGTTGTGACTTTGTTTTTAATGGCAATATAACGGTCTGTTGTTTGGTCTCTCTTGACTTACGTAATCAGTACCTATTATTGAATATTTAATTATGAAATATTAAACTATTATTACATTAACAATACATAATAATATGTATAATGCTGTGATGACCACCCTCTGTGGTTTAATTTTTACACACACTCATGACATTTTTCTTGAGCAAAATTCTTATAATGCAAATATTTAAGACTTTTGATATATACTGTTATCATCCTCTGGAGAGGCTGTCCAAAGTGATGCTCCCATCCACCATGTCTAGGAGTTTCTATTTTGTTACCATCTAAGCTGGAGAATCTCTTATAATTATTGACCATTGGTATTTACATTTGTGAATTTCTTCTTTGATATTTCTTTTGGTGTGTTCATCTTTTCTCTAGTTTCTATGTTTTTGAAAGAACCCTTGCTCTGGGAAGGATGTCAACTAACTCTGTCTTATTTCCAACATATGCCACACTTTTTATGTGTGGCGTTTTCAAGTGTGGGGATGCTTTGCGGTCTCTGATCTAGGGAGACTTGCTGTGCTGCGTGCTGGCAGCCCTCACTGCTTCCTCTGCAACTTCAGAAATGGCTGTTGGTGCTAGAAGCCTGAAACCCCTCGTGAAACACTAGGAGGTCCTAGCCAGATGCCCATCAGCAGGAGGATAGCTAAAGAAATCGGCGTTTATCCGTACATGGGAATGCTGCTCACGTCCACAAAAGCATGGCAGTCCATGCTGAGCAAAAGACAACAGGCAAATCTGTGGAGACACAACATAGATTAGTGGTTTCCAGGGGCTGGTGGGGTTGAGGGAAATGAGGAGGGACTACAGATGGGCACAGGGTTTCTTTTTGGGGTGATGAAAAGTCCTAAACTTGATTGTCTTGATGGTTGCACTACTCTGTGGACAGACTAAAAACCACAGAATTGTGTGCTTTAAATGAGTGAATTTTATGGCATGTGAATTATATGTCCTTAAAGCCATTTAAAAAAAGAAGATGGACACAAAAGCATACATACCATACAGTACCATTTATGTCGAGTTCTAGAATAGGCAGAAGTAATCTGTGATACCAGAAGTAAAAAAGTGGTTGGGGTGGGGCAGGTTGACTGGAAAGGGTGATGGGAATGTTCCATGGGTTGTTAGTAGTTCCTACTTTGGATATATGCAATTGTCAAAACTCATCAGACTGGGAAAAATGCATTCTAGCTGGAAAGAAAAAGAAACAAACGGGCCCTAATCTCATCCCTTTTGTTTGTTTGCTATATTTTAAAAAACAATTTTCCTTTTCTTTTTTTCTATTTTAACGGTTTTAAGTCATCTCTCTGGTGGGTAATGTGCCTTAACTCCTCTCCGTTGACAAAGACCCCGGCCAGTCCCTTGAGGTACCAGGTGCCACCACACCCAAGGCCAGCTCTTCTTGGGAAACCACCCAAAGCCATTGTTGTGCACATATTTAATAATATAATGGCTTTAGAGAACATATGGTTCTTTCCCCACAAGCTGACTGGGAATCTGTTCTACTGGGTGTTTAATTTGTGTGATAAACTTAGTCATTTTGAGACCATGGGGTTTGCCATTTCCCCTCCCAAGAGGAAGTGTCTTTATGCATGTGAAACTTCTTGACATGCTATCAAAGTATTTTTGGAGGGCAGGGGACATTTGGGAAGCTGTGCAGATTACCTAAGGCAAATAATACTTGCCTTTATGGTGTGTGGGGACTCTGTAGACAGAGAAACGAGTCTCAGCAGTGGGGGCAGACAAGCCACCTGCCTTCTTGTGAACGCTCAGTGGTGACGGGAGCTCTGCTCATTGCCTGTCTCTTGTGTGGGGTGTAGGAGCTGGTCAGACTGACCATCGAGAAGCAGGGACGTCCATCGCCAACGAGCCCAGTCAAGCCCAGTTCCCCGCCCGGCAAGCCTGACGGGTAAGTGCTGACCGATCGCGCTGTGGTCAGGGTCACATTCGGTGGCAGAGTCCACGCAGGACACAGGATGGGGCCGTGTGGGCAGCAGGTCAAGTAGGCTGCTTGAGGCCCCGTTCTGTGTTCAGTGGAGAGTTCGGAGCGTACTTTTCGCGCAGGCTGTGAAGTATCGCCGCCTCTCAAGCTCAGCATTTCGTGTGACTGTTTCTGAGCAAAGCGTGTGAGGGTGCCCAGACACCAGCACTTTTCCTGACCAACTTCACTTTGTGATTAGAAAGAATTTTTAAGGGTTTGGATTTGGGGGATTTGACTTGAGAGCACTCCTGCTTGGTCAGGGAGTAAACTGAAGGCAACGTGAACAGTTGTAATAGCTTGCATCCATTTCTACTGCATGCCCTGGTGAAAACGTGAAGCATGAATTTGGAGCATTCTAGAGGGCCTTTAGGTCGTCTGCAGATGACGACACTGAGGTGCAGAGTCGGGGACACGGCCAAGCTCCAGTGGTTTGTTAGCTATCAAACCAGACTTGAACCCCAGGGCCCTGTGTCTGGGGTACCTGCCCTCAGCCCCAGCCCAACCCCATCGTGCCCCTGCCCGGGTCAGATCTTAACCCTCTGGAGACCTGTGTGTGCTCCATCCCGCCCACGACCATCTGTAACCCCACACTCTTCTCCACTCTCCAGCCCGTCCGAGCTCCCCCTGTCAGACCGTGAGATGGAAATCCTAAACAAGACGGCAGGGGTGTCACAGCCTGCCGAGCTCCTCCCGGATGCCACAGACGAAGAGGTCGCGCCCCCCAAGCCCCCTTTACCTGGTATTCGGGTGGTCGATAACAGGTAATTACCTTCCTGTTGTCCAGCAGCGCCTTTCTTCGTGACACGATGTGAGACATAGAGGATAGAACGAGCAGAAAAGGGAGGTCGTGCAGGCTGGACGAGAACCCCGAGCTCAGGCCCTTCCTCTGTACAAACCATGGAGGTTAGGCCTTCCTCGGGAGGGGCGTCTCCTGGGGTGTCTGGGCCCCGCCCCGCCTCCCCCTGTTATACCGTCTGAGCTCTCCTAAAGGCTTTCCTTGTGAAAGCTTCAGCCCAGTGGCACCTGGCGTGATTTGTTATGAAAGGAAAAGAAAAGGTGGTTCTTCTTTGTTCTTTTGGTATTTATGGGTTTTATTTTGGCAGGAGGGGAATGGGTAGGAGTTGAAGTGTGAAAATGGGGTGTGGAGAGTCTCTGATGAAAGAACCCCACATCCTGCACCCTGATATGGTGCCGCAGAGCTTTTGTGTGCATTGCTTGGTCTGCCTGGATGTTCTGTCTGTTTCAGTCCTCCCCCAGCACTGCCACCCAAGAAAAGACAGTCGGCACCGTCCCCTACCCGAGTGGCTGTGGTGGCCCCCATGAGTCGAGCCACCAGTGGCTCCAGTTTGCCTGTTGGAATTAATAGGCAGGTAATGCAGCCCCTATTCGCTATGTGGGGAAGCGGAGGGAGGGTTTTGGGATTTGGCTCCTGAAGCTAAAGGAAACCCAGGGGTCTTTCGGGCCCTGGTGTTTGCCAGGTCGACACACACTCTTCGAGGGCTTGGAGGCCGCACGGTCATCCTTCTGGCTTCAGGACACGGTAGAAGTTCTTGTATGGAGTGTAGGGGCCAGGGGGATGGGGAGGCTAGAGCCAAAGGGACATCTCCTGGGGACATCTGAGCCCCAGCCCCAGGGCCCTCCCTGGCCACATACCCCAAACACCACAACAGCTTTCTCATCTGTCTGTGTGGTTTTATTGCTGATGTCGAAGACGGTTTCTGAGCTTGGCAGTATTTCCTTCCCTAAGTAAATGTACTGATTGCCCCATCCCTGGTCTCTGGTTTCTCAGGAGTGACTTGGATTTGTTTTTATTTTTCCACCCAAGGATTTTGACGTTGACTGTTACGCACAGAGGCGACTGTCTGGAGGCAGCCACTCATACGGCGGGGAGTCGCCCCGCCTCTCCCCCTGCAGCAGCATAGGCAAGCTCAGCAAGTCAGACGAGCAACTGTCCTCTCTGGACAGGGACAGCGGGCAGTGCTCCCGGAACACAAGCTGTGAAACACTAGGTGAGCACCAGCATCAACCTGCCTCATCCTTTCTCGGTGGCTTCTTTGGGGTCATAGAGTCCCAGGTTTGAGTCCCAGGTAATGCCACTCATCGACTACATGACTTTGGCCAAGTCATTTAAAACCTGAGCCTCAGTTTCCTCACCCGCAAAATGAGGATTAACAATATCTGCCTCTCAAGGAGATTGAAAGTTTAAATGAAGCAACAGTGTGAAACCACATCGTAGACACTCAAGTGGTGGCTGCTGTTACAGTTCATCTGTCTGTGTGTAATTGGATGCTCTTGGCCAGAGTTAAGTGCTTAGAGTTTTGCGTGAGGGGGCCCTGGCAGAGTTGGAAGGCGAGAGAGCCGTGCTCCTGACCACCTGTGGGTCGGTGCTGGGCCTGTGCCATGTGGCCCGGCAGAGTCTGCAGGGTGGCTGGGCAGGGCGTGAGGAGCAGTGGGCAGTTGGTGCCCCGTGAACTGGTTTTTCACTTCAGAGAATGTATCCTAAGAACATAATCAAGATTTCTGTCCAAGGATGTTATTCCCAGTGTTGCTAGTAGTAGTGACA